TTAAGCACAATGCCCTTGATGGGTTTCGTGGCAATGCTCCGCCAATGCCACTTCATCGCAATGTTATCCAACCAGCAAACTTTCTCTCCTCTCAGTCCAGGAAGACACAACTCGAAACGAAGGCGAAGACGCCACAACGAGACGAAGAAGAACGGTGGGCTATCGACTCGGATCACCGACTCTGAGGAAGACGAAGACGTCGAAACGTGAGCCGAATAAAACTGTTAATCGACCTCGTGTAAGCCCATCAAAGAAAGAATACAAGTTGCTTAGTAACACCGAGGTTAAAGGAAAGTCGATTCTGAAATATTTTCTCCCCTCTAATTCATAATTGCGCTTAAATTTGCCCAAATTGTATTTCTGTAGTACTAAAAAGAGTAAACAGGTGACCTATGTGTGTCTTCTTCCATGTAAACTTAACACTCGACGTTTTTCTTCAATAAGCAGACATGAGGTTGTTATTATAGAATTTATGAGGATACAACAGCTAACGTTTCGGCGGTTTCGTCTCCTTCAGAGCCTAGAAAGGTCAAATTGAGATGCGATCTACACAGCCAAACCCTTTCATAACCCCAGCAGATAAAACTTAACAAGTAAATTTGCACTCGTATAAGAAACAGCTTCCTTTAAACACCTACCGTTTACCTCAGGCTGATCCAATGACCTGACACAGGCACTGCCCCGCCGATGTGTTACTCTGTGCCGCTGCTGTCCACCAGCTAACTGAAACACAACGAATAAACGGTAGGTGTTTAAATGAAGCTGTTTCTTATGCGAGTGCAAATCTACTTGTTAAGTTTTATCTGGTGAGATTATGAAAGTGTTTGGCTGAGTAGATCGCATCTCAATTTGACCTTTCCAGGCTCTGAAAAAGGTGAAACCGCCGAAACGTCAGTTATTGTATCCTAATAAATTCTATAATAACAACCTCGTGTCTGCTTATTGAAGAGAAACATCGAATTATTAATCAATGCCGAGGTTAATAGAAAGTCGTTCTTGATAATTGAAACTTAACACTGTTCTATTCCATTCAGTTGATGACTGACCCCGTGAGGTGATAAAACGCTTGAAACGAGTTCCCAAACACTTCACCACATGTCATGTTCAACTTTGACTTGAGCAACAACAACCTCAATAGCAACATCCATCCATCATAATACACCGACAAAACGAAAAAACTGGTCGTCCGACGCGGCGAGTGAATGAGTGGGCGGGGTTTGGTGTAGTAGCACCGCCTCCAAGTTAGGGTCCTGCTGCAGTCATTGACTAACATCGAATTGGAAAGTAATTGTGCGTGAAATGCGGAATAACTATGGGTCAGTCGTGCCTTGTTGTAACGAGAAAAAGCGCTTGCAAGCATGCCAAAAATCTCAACAAATAAAAGTCGCATCTTTTCTTAAGGGGCGCGTGTGACGCAATGTTCGGAGGCGCTCTGCAATACAAACGAATAGGTAAGATAGCAGCACTGGCCCGATGCATCGGTGGGCCATCACGAGTCATTGTAAAAACCAGATATGCATTCAATCACCTCCAAGCGATGCTTAGTGAAGTAGAATGCATGGCGCATCCCTCAGAGATTGATCAACGCCTAGAGCTTTATCCTTTAACCTTTACCTCTACTTACTGTATCGAAACATTGGCCCAATAAATCCCACAATCGACTTTCTATTAACCTCGGCATTTATCAAGTAATTCTCCGTATTCTTGTTGAGCAAATGCGAGGTGTTATTTTCATTCTTTATTCAGGAACAAGCTGACGTTTCGGCGGATTTCGTCTTCCTCAGAGCCTGCAAAGGTTAAGTTGACAGCAATCTATTCGGCCAAACACCATAGCCAAACAAAGAAACGCTAAACCAAGGTTTTAATCACACTGAACACAGAGTTTTTGCAAGCTCACCGCTTTCTATGAGTATATCGCATGGAGACCAACCGCACGTAATTCACATGGGAGCGTAATGTGCCCCTCCCACCAGAATAGCGGGCTTATATACTACCCAATATCACGCGCGATAATGAGGCATTCTTCCCTGCGGTTCATTTTCGGATTTCTGGAATTACCTCGAGAGCTTTGCGAGCTTGTGTTCTTGATTCCTGCGCGAGGATCGTGACACGTACTTCAAAGTCCTCCCCGTTATGTCTTTGGGTACAATGCGTGCCTAGCGGGGTATTTGGTTTATGTTTTCCGGCTAGGTGTTCTTTTATGCGGATACAGAGAGGTTTGCCCGTTTCGCCAATGTATTCGTCTCTGGACGCCTTACAGGAGATCAGATAAACTATACCAGGGTTCATGAAATCACCGTCTTTACCACTAGGGCAATTTATGCAATTTTGCGTTGCACATAGACGGTCATATAGGCGGTTACGAACTACCTGGCGGCTAAGAGTACTCGGTGGCATTTCAACTATGTTTACCGAATTCTCTAGACCCTCTCTTCTTAAGCAGCTGCACTTACATCATTTGAGATGAAGGGTAGCATGAACGAGACCTTTTTATCGCTAGAGTTGTGTTTGGAGACCTAGGATTACCCCTACACCTATCCCAAGCTGCAGTTTCGTAGCCATTAAAAATGGCTATTTGCTACTCCAAGTTGCGGGACTCCTCTCTCTGCTCTCTTCACATGCACACGTTTGGTTGCTGTTCGAAACATGTTTCTTACAAGCGCCCTTTTCGTGTGAGAGGTGTGAGAGGAGAGGAAATGAACCAAGATGTTTTTACTACGTGGCTTTCGGTACCACTTCGTAATGTAGCCATTTTCTGCTTGTGCTTACTGGTGCATTACTAGTGCTTCCACCATAGACATGAATGCAATGGCAAGGCTTGGTGCCAGTCGCTGTCCCATTGCCAACCATCTTATTTGAGCGTAGTACTTTCCGGACATTCTGAAGATTGAGCAGCTCAAGCATTCTTTTTAAAGCGCCATCAACTGCTCTACCATGAAGCCATACATGTTTGAAGCTAAAACAATCAACCTGATCTAAGAGACATCTAGTCCTTCTTTAAGGAAAATTTTGTGAAGAGCTGAGACACAGTGAGAATAGTCTGGTAACATGAAACTTATTGTAGCCCATGTTTAGCCACTGTAAACTGCACCACGACTATGTGGCCTCTCTTACAATTAAAAATTAACGTTAACGTCAAAACATTGCTAACATGGCCAGATCAAAGCAGCAACGAAAGAGTTTTTTTAATTTAAAAGCTTCGATTTTACATCAAGAACCCATGAAAGTTGAAAGGATGAAGCTCTGTGCGTTGATCAATGTCTGAGAGATGAGCCGTACATTCGACTTCATTATGGATCGTTGGAGGTGACTGAATGCATATCTGGCCTTTACAATGACTCGCGGTGGCCTACTGATGTACTGATACAGTGTTGCTATCCTTCCAGACAAGTCCGGTATCAATTTGCCGAGCCCGGAGAGATGGAATGCTTGGTGGGCCATGAGTGCGGGGATCGATCCCATGGGTAATGCAGGGCGCCTCCGATCACTGGGCCACACGCATCCTACCAAGAACCCAGTTAAATTAATAGTGTATTTTATTAGATGCACAAGAAAAATTGATCGAATTATTATACGCAAGTAGAAATTCCAGAGCGACGATGTGTGTGTCCATCATATAACGGACGTTGTACAACTGAATGTTGGCGGCAAACGGTAACTCGTTTTTTCTTTCAACTAGTCGACATTGGGTAGAACTCATATTCAGTTAGTTCTGTCTTCAAATGAAAAATCGTTTTTAAACGAAAGCATAGCTCTAGTCTACATTGAAATCTGAAAGCTTTCTGATATTCGCATAACCGGTTTAATTTAGCCATAAGGAGCTTGAAACGTAGGATTTATACTTGAATTTAAGTGAAACAAAGACTGTGGTGAAGATATTTTCGAGATTTCTAGGTACACCACATTGTTTGAGACACTGGCGCTCTCAAAAAGCCCGTATTTCCAGCGCTTTGTACGAATCGACGACACTTCCGGTAAAGTGCTGTTGTTTCGAAGAAAGCTCGCGGTTTGTCACCTTCATATTTGCTTGTTTTCGTTTTGGAGCGCTACTCTTCTAATCCAATATGGTGGCTGTTTTTCTACCATTTTACCTTATCAATAAGGACGCCTTCGTTATTAAACAGCCGTAAGAGTTCCACCTTCTTTTACCTGGTCCACATGCACCCGGACAGGAAGATCGCTGTTACAGTGGTGCTTTTCGCTTCTCTTTTGTACTGGTGCCACTCGAGCGAGGTGCACTACTCGAATTTCTGTCAGGTCGTAGAAGGAGTCGACGATACAAATAAACTTCAACTTGGAGTTTGTTATGAGTGGGACGCAGCCGACAAGAACCAGAAGAAATCTTTTCCAAAAATCGCTCTATAAGTATCTTAGACCTACCCTTGTCAGATTTCTGTTCTTTTCGTGAACTGAATTGAAATTTTTCCCCATGGGATGTATTTCGTCAAGCATTCCACATGGCGCCTCTCAGGCGCATTTTTCGATCTTGGGTCGCAGGAATGGGGAAAACATTCAAACACTTAGTCAGCGTCCTGTCTAAATGCCCGATTAGCGCGCAACTTAAGTCGTGGATAGAAACAGTTAATTGCTGGAAAGAAATATGACTGGTTAGAAAAAACACTTGTATTATTTTTCCACCGATAACGCTGTGTAGGACCAGTGGACGAAATGTCTAGGATTATTGTACGATTTGTATCCTTTTCCATTGAGACATGTTTTGATGATAAAAGTGAAGATTATTTCCGTTTAAAAACCTGCTGTGATTATTTATTTCTACGACAGTTTTGTTGAACCATTCGACCCAACATGATTTGCTATTTAAAAACGTAAGTTGAATTAACGAAAAGGCCTATTGAATCCTATTGTTCGCAAACTCTTATTTTAACCACAACGATGCCGAAATGTTAGCAAAACTTGGACCTCGAGCCAAATTGAACCGCGGTTCCCCTTTCTGGGGCTCACGCAGCGACACGGAAGCCTTTGCTCTGCGCTTCTCTTAGCTCTTTCTTCTATCTACCAATGCCATCAGGAATCACTCTCATTTATGCTGAGTTACGAGTTCGAAATTCTTCGTGGTGAATATAATCATTCTATGATAAAGGATAAAGGATAAAGCTCTCAGCGTTGTCAATCCCAGAAGGATGCGCCATGTATTCCACCTCATTAAGCACCGTATGGAGGTTATTGAATGCATATCTGGTCTTTACAATGACTCACGTTGGCCTACCGATATATCGAGCTAGTACTGCTACCCTCCCAGACAAGTCTGGTACCATTTTGCCGACCACGGAGGAGTGGAGGGCTTAGTGGGCCATGGACGCGAGGATCGGTTCCACGTATGTGTCGCAGGGACCCTCCAACCACTGTGCCACACGCGCCCATTCTATGATAGTACCGGAAAATGTCGGCTAATTGGATTTATAAACTTTTTGCATACAAGTACACTTACGCTGTACAAAAACCAGTGTATTCATTTACTCATTCAGGTTGACTCAGCAGGAGCGATTTTCATCAATCGTGATGGTAAACTGTTCGCTTATGCTCTACAATTTATGAGGGATGGTAAGCGAACAGCTCTTCCTCAAAACTTTGACATTCTCAGACAGCTAGTGGTAAGTCTAAACGAAATTTTACAACTGCGTAAATTTTCTTCTATCTTCACGTTTATGTTTAACACATTTTGAGCCAACCTCATAATTAGCGAAGTCATTGCTCTACAAGCCTCCCAACGGTTTACTGCCTCATCGTGGCTGGGTGGTGTTCCTGGGTGTCGGGTTGCAATGTACAGCGGAGGATTCAACCTTGCAAGGTTTCCCAAGCTAAGGAGTCGGCTTTTACGCTAGAAATCTTAGCTAAGAATAAACCAATATCAGGATCCGCCACCGTTCTGATACCAAACTGATCGCATGGTGACAAATCTCTCTCTTATCCACAAGAGCGGCGACTTACTGTGGTGGTGACGACCTAGAGCAGAATTTGGCCAGACTAACCTCGGGACTCCAGCGAAACACCATGACTAAACCAGCAAAGCTCCGAAAAATGGAGATTGTGCTAAGGCATGCACAGTTAGTGTGGGCCAAGTATCCAAGTGAGTAAGTATTGGTCGACAAGAGGTCAGTATTTGTAATATTCATAGAATTCTCGTTGTTATTGCCATCCTTTCAAGCTGTGTGTGAAGTTAATTTGAAATAAACTAAAAGCCCTTCCTGCTCTAGGATAGCTTGCTTCAACCACAGTGCATTTATTCATCGAGTAACTCTTGTGGATATTAGTGAAATCTCCATTCATGTCTGCTGTGCGTAAGAGCACTGCACACTCTGTTCTTCTCGTTTAAGACTTTTATGGGAACACACATATTTTTGGCATGGTACCTCTTTTAAAACGTTTTTAGCAAAGTGATAGCGGCAGGTTACTCACTGCGCTCTACTGTTCTCTTCGAGATAGTAATGTTGAGCATCTTCGCTAGTAATTTCACACGGCGATGTAGTAAACCGGGGATTAAGGGGTGTTAGCCATGAGAACTGGTCCGAAATAGATAAGAGTGGAAGTGTGAACTTTTCTGAGCTAAGTAACCAGCAAGTCAGACTGTTCGAACTGATGTTGCTTGCTAAAGAGCAAATCAACTCACTAATACTACAGATGGAAGGTGGCAAGGGCTAGGAATTTTTCAAAGTGCTGCCACTGTATTGTATTATGAATACCACACGTGGGAGAACGGGTCGACATCGAACCTTGAAGAACAGAATACAAGATGTTTTTTCTCGCATTTCGCTGATGACTCATTTACTGCACTGCAATTACTGTCGCGACTACTTAAAAAAGTTGCGGTGGAAACTATTTCTCTTAGCAAATACAAAGTGATATGTTTTATTTGTTTTCACCGTAAAACGACAACTGTCAATAGTACGACTAGTAAAGGAAAAAAGTTGTTTTGAATTGTTGATAAAGGGTGCCAACTATTACTGGAATGTCATTCGTTCTTTTCATAGCGCGAATCGGAATTCTTCGGTATGGATGGTTGGAAGGATGTACTACAAGAACAGCTACAGATAGTCGAAAAACAAGAGAATGAGGTGAGTTAAAGCTCTCATAGAATTGATGCGGGTCATTCGTTTCGTTCGTCTCTCGGCTAGTCCTATCGATCAGTGCCACCAGCAATCACCCGTCAACGGGTTTGATCTGGGGAGCCCAAATCGGCATTGAACCCAGTTGAACCACTCTTACCTATCCTTTTATTTAATTACAGCAATATTTCTTTATGATTTCTAGTGAAACCACCACTTCTTTGGGATCAACCGATCTTAGGGAAAGCGCAACGTAAATGAAAAGCGTAAACGTATAAAGGATTTAAGAAATGATTTCAAGGATCAAAGAACATTCTCCACATAGCGTGCCTTGAAAAACTGGCGGATAGTGGAAGGAAGTGATTGTACTTTAAATCAATGAGGTTTTCGTCAGGTGTCATATTAACATCTGTTACCTTTCCAGCCAAACCCTTATTGGGTGTTTTCTTTCGTGTTCTTCTTGAACTGTAATTCTCGTTTGTTCTGACTATTTTTGAAAAGAATATATGAAAAATTTCCTTCTCTGGCATTCTATTGGATGGCACTAGAATTCGATCCGACTTACGGTGTTCCCCTTATGAATTCTTCTTAAGTTGCGGTTGGTTTCCTGATCAAAAGAACATTTGATTTCTTATCTTCTTTTATTTATTTCGTTTTTATTAATTCTACCCTGTTTTTCTTTTTCTTCATTTTTCAACTGGTCTCTTTTCTATTTAACTTTTCCCAGTCTTTCTTTTTCGACTCAACCATGTAAAACTACTTTTGCGCTAAATTTAGCCCTTCTGTGCTGAAAATGTTTTCGAGACATTTCGTTGTTGTTCTCGACCATTCCCTATACAAGTATAACACGTTTCCGAAGTAGATGTCTTACCATTTCCGCGTAATGTGACAGCTTTGTTCGAAGAGCTGATGTGGTTGTTTTTGTTTCGCCAGGTTTTCCTAGTTTTGTTATTGCTACCTTTAGCACGCCTACGTGACTTTCGACAGCACCAGCTATTACCAAAACCGATGGTGTCGATGTTCATGAAACCGAAAAAAACAAACCCCGAAACCTGTCGCTATGCCATTTGGTGACTGAGTGACTTCAGATTCGCAAAAAAAGTCAGGTCGTTTATGCGTCCACGCGTTTACGACACACAAGCATTCATCAAAAGAGTAAGCTCATCAAAGAAAGAATACATATTGATTAGTGATAACGAGGTTTAAGGAAAGTCGGTTTCGAAATATTACTACGCGTTGTGCTAGCTGATAACAACACCGACTTCTGCACGATGTGCGCAATGATGTATGTCCGGAAGAAAAACAAGTTGTTATCACCGGACATTATCATTATATCGACCATCAGCATCGCGTATAAAAGGGCATCACTGAGTAAGGATGCCTCATTCGAGGAGATGGCTCACTGAAGAAGGCCTAACTCGACACGAAGGCGAAGCTGCCACGTCGAGGCGAATAACAAGTGAAGACCATCGACTCGGATCATCGGCTCTGAGGAAGACGAAGACGTCGAAACGTTAGCCGAAAATAAATATCATTATCAACCTCGTGTAAGCTCATCAAAGAAAGAATACACAAGCATTGATTTCAATGCGTACTGAACTGCTTATGGAAGTATCATGGAAAATTCTCATTGATTTTGGTAGTTTTTCCTGCTCGTTTATTTCACCGCACGGGATTACTTTTCTATTTAATGGTTAACCGCACCATAATAGAAGTTCCACTAAGCATCTAATGAGAAAGGCTATACGTTACAGTTTAAAAATCAGTTGTTTTTACTTTTTTCCTTTCCGAGAGTCCCACGAGGATTCCCTGTTTGTTGTACTGCAAATGGAGGACTGAAGGCCATTGCTGAAGATTAAGACGTCTTTGTTATGGATGGGTTGATTTGGACCACACTCATTCAGTTCAACGTATTCGAAGCGAAAAAATTTAGTTCTATGCCACCTAAGAAGTGCCCTTGGACAAAATACTGTTTAGCACAAGTTAGAATACTCACTAATAACTAAACTAGCTAAACCGCAATAGGAGTTACAAATGAAACTAGTGAGCCTTGCAACTTTTAAGAGTGTGTGGAAGACCCAGTCCGTTTATAGCGATTTACTTTAAAATCAAGCAATATGAGAAAGTAATTGAAGAAAGGGAAAAATACAATAGATAGCATAGAACTAATCAATAATGGGTGATCTGGATAACCTGCTTCTAGGCTTCTAGGAGGTGTTTCACGGCAACTTCATTGAAGCTCCATTGTAACGGATGTCATGCTCAAAACATATTATATTTGACGAATGGCGACCATTCTGCGCCAAACACTTTCACTATTCATCTCTTCGAAGTGAAATGGAACAATATACTTTCTTGCAAAGCTTTTTCTTTTGAAACTTACACGTACGTCATGCAGAACGTCGTGGTCAGTTCGTCAGTGTCACAAAAACCTCCATTTAGGTAGACAGCTGTTCAAAGTCTCAGATGCCCCCGAGCAAATATAGTCTGACGAGGGTTTATATCACAGCATTTTTAATGGTTATCCCGCATGTTTTTCATTTCAATGCTTTTTTTGTGTTATACAAAGCAGTGTTTCTAATAATTTCTTCTTATATTTTCTATTTCCATACTCGTTTTCACATACTATGCAGAAACCAGCATTTCTTTCATTCGATACGTCGTCGTCTTCGGCCCGTAATCAGCGAGTTCCTCCGTATTTCCAAATAGCTTCGCGTGTAGCTTGCGGATTTTGCCTCCACTGAGTACTTGTTAAGTTCTGCCTTGCTGGATTTCTGGACTAGCGTTGCTAGAGCGTTCCTAGGACTTAAATACTGGCAATCGCATGCCCGTATGGGTTGCATCTGGTCATACTTTTTTTGTATGAATCCCTAAAAAACATCCGTTGATTACATTTGTGTTTCATCTAGGCACGAATCCACCAAAGTGATTGACTCGAATTTGACCAGTACATCTTAGTTTTCCTTGACTTTCCGTTGTATCACCGTTACTGTCTAATCACTCGCAAATCAGACTCGATGTCAAAAGTAAATCGTCTCACAGTATAAGACAGCTGGGTAGGAACCGTTCTAGTGAGGCATGTAGCGCAGCGGTTAGTTGTGCATTGTAAATCCTGTTGCTGTTGGTTTGATCCGGGCTCCTAAGCTGGTCATTTCTTAGGGACCGTTGTTTTGTCACCACACCAGACTTGTTTAGAAGAATAAAGACGCTTATTTACTAAACCGGCAGATCACTCCAAGGTACTGCCTAAGTAAATATACAATCCATCACCTCTACGATTAAATGAAGATGCATAGGACAACTGGAATGGTAGATTAACGACTTCCACCCTTCCATTTTTACTACTTATAAATTTTATTATTAATATTTTTGTTATTATCTTCGCAACGAAGATCCGTCCTCCCAGTGACTTGACCACCATGGCTGGTATCACACCACTAGAAAAAGACTGTGGCATTCCAGTTGGAATCAATAACATTAATAAATTATGCTGTTCGATACTCTTTGTTTACATGAATCGATTTACTTCGTTCTTTCATACTCTTTGTGACTTTTATATTTTACAAAAAAAAGGAACTGCCCGCCCTCATTAAAAAGATGCGAGGAGATTTTCAGTGCTAGTCAAGTAAGATGAGATGAAAACCCACGTCACTCGGACGCCACCAGAAAACCGTCGATCTGCATTTCAGAAGTGCTCAAGGAGTTTTCCTTCCTTACAAAGATTTAACTTCTTTTAATTTCTGACTGTTCAGAAGGAATCTATGCAACGTTCATTTTCAGACACATCAGCTTCTGATCTCGATTGATACACATGTGGCGCAGATCTCTAAGAATCTGTACTTCTCCGCATTCAAACACTGAATTACAAAGTCATCCATCACAGTGAAGATGGACTTCTGTAAAATAATTACTAATCCAGATAAGATTGTGAGATTTTAAAAGCGAGTCTTACATTTGTCATCACCCAACTGACCTTACGTCACAGCGATTGCTGTCAAGTGTCCATAATGATAATCTATATGGTTGATCTACTTAAATAAATAAATATTTATTCACTGCACCCAAAGATAAATAAATGATATCTAGTACCAGAAAATATCAAGAACTGTGATAGAGAACTCCTATCGGAACTCGTCCACCCTCCCACACTCACATACACGTAGTAGGTAATGTTTAGACCATAGGGTATTATCCAGAGAGCAAGCTTGATAATTTCACATTGTATTTAATAAATAGCCG